CAGCACTCCTGCTGTAATTGACTTGGTGTATCAGTAAAACAGCTGCCTCAGCCTGAAGGTCTCCTGTTCTGGTGGGGAGCAACCACAGCACTCCTGCTGTAATTGACTTGGTGTATCAGTAAAACAGCTGCCTCAGCCTGAAGGTCTCCTGTTCTGGTGGGGAGCAACCAGGATGCCTGGTCCCAAGGACATCTTTTTTCAGATTCCCCCTGTGGAAGCAGCTCCTGCCAGGAGAGCGGGGCTGGGCTCCACTTAAAGCAGGGCAGAGCCTGGGTGTCCTCATCCCAAGGTTGTCTTCATCCCCAGGGAAGGACATGTGACACATGGGAAGTAGAGCAGGGCTGTGACTTCTCCCATCCTCACTGGTGCTGAGGGATGAGGCCATTCATTCCCACTGTTGCTGCTGGCAGGTGCTTTTATTGACAGCAAAGTTGGGGTTTGCCCCACACCCAGCACTGCTGAGACCTTCACGGGGCAGAGCTCACGCTGCTGAGCCCAGGGTCAGCCCCAGGCCCCATCTCCTCTCTCCTGCCCCTGGTGCTGTGCTTGCCCAGTCCTGAACTAGAGCCTGTCCAGTCCCCAGCAGGAACATGGATTCAGAAATGTCCTGGGACCAGATGGAGCTGTTGTGCCAAGGGGAGGGATCCCAGCCAGGACCCACCGTGCCTGCTCCTGCAGGACTGCTCAGGGCTTGCTGCGCTTAGCCTGCCCCTCTGGTGCCGTCCCCGCCGCCCGTTTATTGCGGTGGTGGGGAAAGGTGGGCATCAGCTCCGGCTCGCAGGCTGTGGGGCACAGATGGGAGTCAGCACGGCCTGGTGCCCCCCAGCCCTGCCCCTGGGGGGGGTTACTTACGTAAGGGCTTCTCCTTGAAGTAGGAGCTTTCCAGGCAGTCCTTGGCCGTGGCCCTGCAGTGACAAGAGGATATGGCAGGCACTGGTCTCAGCCCTGGTGACAGGGTGACGCAGGTCCCTGTCTTGCCTGCCCCAAGTCCCACCTGGCTCTTACCTCTTTTTAGGGTCATACATAAAGAGGAAGTTGAGCAGGCGCAGCCCTGCCTCGGACAGCCACGGGAACCTGTGCTTCAGGTTGTTGTAGGGCTGTTTCCTCAGGGTGTACTGGCTGGCCAGGGGCAGCTTGGAGAATCCCTGCAGGGTCTGAGTGTGAGGAAGGGGCAGGGGAGCAGGCAGGGACTGGCAGGGAGTTAGAGCAGGACTGGCAGGGAACTCTCACCGGCCAGATGTTCTCGTTGGGTGTCCCCAGCAGCTGCACAATGAGGTCGATCTGGTGTATCTCAGAGGTGCCGGGCAGCAGTGGTTTGTGTGCCAGCAGCTCGGCCAGGATACATCCCACAGCCCTGCAGAGGGCAGGATGAGCCCCTCCATTGCCCCCCAGCTGGTTTGCAGCCCCCCAGCCTCATCATCCCTCCTTACCACATGTCAATGCTGGTGGTCTGGGTGGTCATCCCCAGCAGCAGCTCGGGCGCGCGGTACCTGCGCAGGGGACGCTCCGTGGCAGAGCCGAGGTGGAGCCACCCCTGCCACTGAGGGTCACCCCCCAGCACCTGCCACTCACCACAGCGTCACCACCTTGGGGGTCATCGGCTTGGGGGGCATCCCATAGGTGCGTGCCAGGCCAAAATCGGCTGCAATGGAGACTCCAGGTCAGGAGGGAGCTGAGCTCTGAGCTCCAGATGCAGAGCTGGATGCAGCTGCCAGGACTCACCTATCTTCACACAGCCCTTGTCGGTCATCAGCAAGTTGGAGACCTTCAAATCCCTGCAGGGAACAGAGTGGTAGTTCAGTACCATCCTTGGCATGGCTCATCCACACTCCAGAGCCCAGTGATGATGAGGAGAAACTAATCCCATCATTCCATGCCCTCCCTGCCCTGCTGGTGCTCCCACATGGAGCCACTGATGGGCACCAAACCCCCATCCAGTGTTGCTCACTCCCAGGTGCCCCCAGACACCCCCTACTCCCCCCAGCTCTGCCCCAATACTCCCACCTGTGTATGATATAGTTCTCATGGAGGTACTGCAGCCCCTTGAGCACCTGCAGGACAATGCACTTCACCTGGAGACAGAGGACAGGAGCTCCAACCCCTGCAGGAGCAAATCCCCAGGGGTCAAACCCACCAAGGTATCCTACAGCCCCTCCATCTGTGTGTCCTATCAGGAGGGCATTCTCTCCCAGCTCCATATCCCTGTCAGTTTGCACCAGCTCCAAATGCAGCCTGGAATGTCCCAGGAGGGTTTAGTGACAGCCAGCAAAGCTCACGCTCCCCTGAAACTCCCCAGCATAAAGTCCAGGGAGCCCCCAGGGGTGCCTGGCACGTTTTGGCTGGGTGGCATCACCCTGTCAGGTGTGACAGACCCAAATCCTGCCCCAGGCTGTACCTGAGCCTCTGAGAAGGGTGTCTGCATGTTCTCAAGGAGGCTGGCCAGGTCCTGCTCACAGTAGCCCATCACCAGGAAAATGCTGTGAGAGACAAGACAAACCCCCAGGACAGGTCTATGTGCTGAGGTGGCTCAGGGGGAGGACTAGAAGGCAGAGGGAGGGCAGAGAAGGGACAGTCACCTCTCCAGGTGGTTCCCCACAACCACCTCCTTGAGCTCCACGATGTTGGGGTGCTGGAGCTGCAGGAGCAGAGTAATCTCCCTCAGGCTGCTGATGGGCTTTCCTGGGGGGAGAAAGAGCCGTGCTACAGGACAGTCTGGAGCTGGGATCGGGCTGGGGCCGCCCCTGCTCCCCCTCCCTATTACCATCCTTCTCGTTGTCCATCCGCACCTTCTTCAGCGCCACCGTCTCGTCCGTCAGGGTGTCCCGGGCACGGTCTGGGGGAAGCACAGGTCGCACCGTGAGCACCGGGACACGCATATGGGGTCTGTCCCGGCCCCGCGCCGAGGGGCCGTCCCAGCCTCGGCCCCTCCCGCCCAACGCGCTCCCGCGGGGGTGGAACTAGGAGAGCTGGAGGTCCTTCCCAGCCCAAAGCGTGCGGGGATTCTGCCAGGGGAATGGCTTCTCACTGCCAGAGGTAGAGCG